GTTGCGGTTCTTTCGCATAAAACAACGCCTTACTCAATATTTTCAAGAGCACAAAAATGTCCAAACTCCCCCCCACCCCCCCCAGCATTTGGGATGTGTGTTGTGACTCTGCTACTACAACAAATTTTAGCACATTTTTTAAATGGATTGTATTGTGGCCATTTTTGTGCTCTTGAAAATCAGCTGGCTGTGGTGGCCATCTTGAAGGGAATTACCTTTAAAAGTTAATCCATTGTAGACAAGAAACAACCATCCAATGATGACTTTTTGCAAGTTTCATTACAATTTTTAGTAAAAATTTTAATTTTTTTTTGAATATTGATAGTTTTCCCATTATCACATCCTTGTTTAAAATCCCAGTAATGGAACAGCACCACTCTGAAACCTGCTCTGAGAATAATGTGCTTCTTATGAAATAATTTATTTCCTGCTGTAACTGCCAGACGTTGCCTCAGGTTATGGTAGTAGAGATCATAATGCAGAACAGCAAAGGAGCACCCTGCAGATACCCGCCAGTACTGCCAAATCCTGGCATATAATTACCTTTATATAAGTCAGTAATTCGCTGTGAGCAATGTATCAATAATGTATTTTATGGCTCCGTCTCTGCAGGAAGTAATGGCCATGAGTTCATGTTCCTGTTGAAGGGCCATGAGGATCTGAGACAGGATGAAAGAGTCATGCAGCTGTTTGGTTTGGTCAACACTCTCCTGGCTAATGACCCTGCATCTCTGCGGAAAAACCTCAGGTAGATTCACAGACCAGTTCTCATACATGAAAATCCCACAAGTACAAGCTGCTTTTGTTAACGCAGAAACTCTGAACCAATTCTGAGAAGTTGAAGTTGTTAGACTTTGTCTTCGTACAACTGGAAGTACTGAAAATTGCTGCCTGTTTACAGCCCATAAGAAGACTGAACGCAATTTACTGTAATAACTGGAAGTATTTGTTTATTGCATGTTTAGGATAGTTAAATATATCTTGCTGTGCTGCTACTGTTGAAGACTAGTTAGCAAAGAAATAGGTGCCAGGTGTAAAGCAACAAGTTTCATTTGCATATCAGAGTTCATGCTCAATCATCCAGGTACAAAATCCAATAATGGTCAGTCAGGTCATCTGGACAGTTTCTTTTTTTATGGAAAGACGTTTCGCCCTCTATCCGGAGGATGTCTTGAACCACTTTGGCTGTGGCTGCCTGCCTGGGAGGAGTCGAAGGGGGACAGGACAGCCCTCAGAAACCATCTTATCACCAGCAAACTGGTTGGTCCACTAAAGGCGTGTACTGCTTAGTGGAGAAAAGTTTATTTGGGACTCCTCAGACTGATGAAGCCCTCCGGATAGAGGGCGCAACGTCTTTCCACAACAAAGAATCTGTCCAGATGACCCGACTGACCATTACTGGGTTTCATTTGCATACTTGCCATGAATTTTTCAGACCATTTTCAGCTCTGTTCTCTTACCGTTTAAATGTTATCAAGACTTTAAATGAGGGCGCTGGCTGCTTAAACTGTGCACAAAGTCTGCTCCAACTTATTGGGGACTGCCTAGTAAGACAGCCATCTACAGTGTCATTATCCACCTGAAAAGGGCCTTGATCTTCTATCAGCTTTAATGTGGACCGAGCAGCAAAGTGCATCTCCCACAAGTTTTATATCAAAATGATCAGCTCAGCACCGTGATGTGAGCTATTACTTTCATTGGCATTTTGCGTTACCATGACGATGTAATTTGCAAACAAACACACCATTTTTCTCATTGAAGATCACAAACGCTAATTGCCACAGTGAGGCCACATGAAATATTGAGCTGAAATTTGGTGTGGTTGTAGCTGAGAGCAAGTTGTTGTACAGTCCTGATGCAAATCGAATATCCAAGATGGCCGCCTTAGCTAAAAAGATTAAAAAAGATAGCTCAGCTATTTTAAAGTATACTGAGCTGAAATTTGGTGTGGTGGTACCTGACAGGGGATGCACAACACATTCTGAATTCAAATCTAAAAATTCAAGATGGCCACCAAAGCCAATTTCAAATGGCTGTAACTCAGTTGTTTTTGGAGCTATTCAGCTGAAATTTGGTGTACTGGTAGCTGAGGACGATCCCTAATAGTCTCTGGTTGCATATCAAAAATCATGTCTGAGTTTAAAAGGAAAAATACTATAAATCAGCCATTTTTCTAGAAATTAAACTGAAATTTTGTGTGGTGGTAGCTGAGAGCAATGCTCCAGAAGTACCGAATTATAAACAAAAAAATTCAAGATGGCTGCCAAAGCTAAATTTAAGTGGCTTTAATTCAGCTATTTTACACATATAGAGCTGAAATTTGTTGTGGTTATAGCTGAGGACGTTCCCCATCACATACTGAATCCAAATAAAAATCCAAGGTGGACACCATAGCTTAAAAGAAAAAAATGGCTATGACTCATTGATTTTTATTTTTTATTTTTTGCCATGTTGAGCTGAAATGTGGTATGGTGGTAGCTGAGATGAACCCCAACACATAATACTGTCGAATCGAAATTTAAAAATGGCCGCAACGTGGCAGTTCCCATCAAAGTTTCTTCAGGAACTTTCTAGTTTAATATTTACAGTCACACGTACAGAGCCTTTAAAGAATGCCTGTAAACTTCTTTGGCTGCACTACGTTGTAAAAATATTTTTTAGAGTCTAAAGGAGTTGTATTTGTATCTTAACAAATAAATGTGTTCGTATGTATTTGTGCTTGCTTTTGCTCTGCGTTGGGATCATCAGTATTCAGCGCTACGCCGTGATCCCCCTGTCCACCAACTCCGGCCTGATTGGCTGGGTGCCCCACTGTGACACCCTGCATGCCCTCATCCGAGACTACAGAGAGAAGAAAAAGATTTTGCTCAACATTGAACATCGCATCATGCTCAGGGTGAGAAATCACTACTGAACTTCAAGTGTACACTTGTTTTGTATCAGTTATTTTGACTATTACGAGCGTGTTTATTTATATTAAAACTTGTTTTTTAGTGACATCAAAGTTGTGGCAACAATCACAGGATAGATTGTGCTCATTTATGTGTAAATTGAGTTTTTTGTGCCAGAAATTGGTCTCATTTATCAAAAAAAAAAAAAGTAAACTTGTGATTTTCATACTGAGTCATCTATACTAAATATATTTAATGTAGCCCCAAAACATTTGTTTTCAGAAATTATTTCATAGAACAGCAATCTTTTCTTAATCACAACACATTTGCAGACGTTGTCACAACTTAACTAAATACTTCTTCCTCTGAATTTCCAATTAGTCAAAAGAGAACACACATTATTCTTGTCTAATTGTCACTTTAATTACATTGTAAAGAAAAAGAAAAGTCTGTTATGTTTAGTATTCAAGACAGAGAGGGTTAAGACACCTCGTCTGCAATGAATGTTTTTGACTGAAACACCAGAACCGGCATCACAACAAGAGTTACTTTAAAGGATGAGACTTGTTGGTCCTGGCTGAGTTCATCCACGACTCGATGGGGGAAATAATGAGCAAATATTGTTTAACTGTTTACAGACAAAAACATCATTTATATAAGATTTGCTGTTTTCTATTTTTGCAGAGTGCCTTTAAGCACTCTGCCTTTTACCAAAGAAGCCTCACCCATCAGTCCTTAATGACTATAGACCTGTTGCCCTGACATCCCACATCATGAAGGTCCTAGAGAGACTTCTGCTGACCCACCTGACTAAACAAACAAGCACACATCAGGACCCACTGCAGTTTGCTTACCGGCTTGGACTTGGAGTTGAAGATGCCATCATACACCTGCTTCAGCAAACTCACTGTCATCTAGAAAAGGCAGACAACACTGTGAGAGTCATGTTCTTTGATTCTCCAGTGCATTTAACACAATCCAGCCTGATTTGCTTTGTCAGAAACTCCAGAAGACTCAGGTGGAGGCCTCAACAATCTCCTGGATCAAAGACTACCTGACAGACAGACCACAGTTTGTGAGACTGGAGGGTTGTGTGTCTAACCAGGTGGTCAGTAGCTAAGGTGCACCACAGGGTACTGTGCTCTCACCACTCCTTTTCACTCAGTACACCTCAGATTTCCAGTACAAAACAGACTCCTGTCATCTGCAGAAATATTCAGATGACTCTGCAGTGGTCGGGTGTATCAGAGATGGACAAGAAGCTGAGTACAGGGAACTGGTGGACCGCTTTGTGGCATGGTGTGGAAACAATCATCTCATCTTGAATGTGAACAAAACAAAGGAGATGATTGTAGATTTCAGGAGAATCAGGAACAGATCCAACCCTATTTTCATCATGGGAGAAGAAGTGGAGGTGTTGGAGAAGTATAAATACCTTGGAGTTCACCTGGACAACAGACTGGACTGAAGATGCAACAGTGAAGCATCTACAAGAAGGGACAGAGCAGACTGTACTTCTTGAGGAAGCTGAAGTCCTTCAATATATCTTCTATAAGTCTGTTGTAGAGAGCGCTATCTCTTCTGCCATCATCTGCTGGGGGAGCAGCACCAGAGCAAGTGACTTCAAAAAGATCAACAAGCTCATAAAGAAGGCTGGCTCAGTTCTGGGGACTCCTCTAGAACCTTTGGAGATGTTTGTACAAAGAAGGATTCTTCATAAAATGAAGAACATTATAGACAACCCTCAGCATCCTCTCCATCAGACTGTCATACAGCAACAGAGTGTCTTCTGTCAGAGGCTTCTTCAGATCTGTTGTAGGACAGACCGCTACAAGAGATCCTTCCTGCCCACAGCATCAGCATCTATAACAACTCTTTAATGAAACCAGGATGATGAGTTACAACAACATTTAATTTCCCTCTGGGATTAATAAAGTATTTTTGAATTGAATTCAGTTGACTTGATGCTCAGCCCTTCCAAATGACGACACGCCGAGTTGACCAATGCTTCTTACTGGGAGGTTTCTAGCTGCTAACATCATCTACTTGCTGTGCAAAACTAAAAGTATGACTCAAGACGAACTAAAAAGGACAGGGAAGTCTTGAATGTTGTATCAAAGAGTTGTAAAACATTAAAAACATGAAGCAAATGAGCTTTTCAGTTTCAAAAACCTTATGATGTTAGAGAGAATATAACAAACATGTCCCTGTTCAGACTTAATGAAATAATCAAAACAACACTTCTAGTCAATATAACTTCTTAGTTTCAGTTTTGTTCATATATTATTTTTAATGAAATAAAAGATGTAAAAATCTTTGCTAACCTTTAAGAACCAGAGCTGTGAAACTGTAGTTATTAAACGTTGACTTGCGTATGTCAAACATTTTCCCCTCCAGTTCTCATTTAAATACAAATCTTGTTTCTGCATATATTTTAAATATTATTTTTGGAGGTGATTTTCCTTCTGGAAATGACTTGCTCCTTTTGGGGGTTTGTTTTGTTCATAGGAGTTTCTTTTAAGTGAAAATTACCACCACCCTGCTGTGAAGTGATGATATTTAGAACAAAGTCACTCTGGTGGTGACAGCTCAAGTTAAAGTATGAGCATTCTGTTTTTTATGATTCCCTTGAGCTCTTTTTCATTTTTCTGTTTTTTAATCTGCTGTTTTCAGTGCTGTGGCAGCAAGTCTTGGATAAAGAGGAGTTCAAACGATGTGTGTGTTTCTAAATGTGTGTGTTTCAGATGGCACCAGACTACGACCACCTGACGCTGATGGAGAAGGTGGAGGTGTTTGAGCACGCCGTCAACAACACTGCTGGAGACGACCTGGCCAAACTCTTGTGGCTGAAGAGCCCCAGCTCTGAGGTGTGGAGCCCCACTTCTTTAAACTCTCTGGGGAGGGGGGGGATTGAGGGTACTTGCTTTTTTCAATGCCCATCCTCAAATAGTAGTGATTTGTGGGTAGATGGCAGCTACTGTATGGAGTTAGAAATAATAATTTCCCCTGTGAGATGCCCTGCTACTGACTGCAACTGGTATTCATTCAACCTTTATTTATACAGGTTAATCCCAGGTTAATCCCAGGTTAATCCCAGGTTAATCCGGTATACAGTAGTCTCTTGATTATCGCGGGGGTTACGTTCTGGACACCCCCACAATAAGTGAAAAACCGCAAAGTAGAAACGCTATATTGATTTTAGTATTTATATAAATTTTAAGACTTTATAAACCCTTCCCACACTCTTGCAATGATCTAAACTCTTCAACCTGTGTAATTTTAACAACATGCATGTATGTACTGCACAGTACCTACTGCAAAATTTTATATGAGGGACTCACCAGCCTTTGTCTGGTTCTGTTCGTGTCCCGATCGGCTCTCTGCAGCTGTTGAACACCAGATGTTTTTAGAGAGAGCCAGACCTTCGGAGAGCCAGCACAAAACCACACAATGGTCCCGACTGAGTCCAAATAATCCAGAGGGATCCGGATGAAAAAAGTCTGGGTGAGCTACGGAGAAGACACCGGACCTCCAAGCAACGCCTCCCCGCTCAAGAGGCTTCCTGGGCAGGCAAGCAGCACTAAGCTTGACCGATGAGGCTGGAAGTAGTTCTGGTCCGGTTCTGATCGGGTCTCTGCATCCACTGAGCGCTGAAGTCACTGTGACTAAGGACTGAACTTTTTATTCAGGATCGGATCAAAACGCTACAAATCGCTGAACATTTTTGCTGCCTGCCCCCCTCCCCATCTCTCTGATCTGCTACAACCGTATGTCCCACCACGTTCCCTGAGGTCAGCGGACCAGTTGCTCCTCACAGTTCCAGGAACTCGTCTTAAGCACAGAGGTGACAGGGTCTTCTCTGTAGCAGGACCAAGACTTTGGAATGAGTTACCTCTGCTTGTCAGAGCCCCCTCCATCTCGGTTTTCAAATCCCGTTTAAAAACTCACTACTATTCAGTAGCTTTCAACACCAGATGATCTGGTTTGTCGTCATATTTATTATCTGCATCGTTTTTATGTCCGTATTTTTGATTTACTTCATTTTGTATATTGCTTCGTGCGTTGTCTGTTGTTCTGTCTGTACAGCACTTTGGTTGGCCTTGTAGCTGTTTTAAGTGCTCTATAAATAAAATGGTATGGTAAAACTTTCCCTGCAATTCAGCAGAAATCAGTGGCCGGAAGCACTGTTGGCTTCTGGGTAATGTGGTTATTTTGGACAGGCGATACAGTGTAGGCTTATAGAAAGAAAACTACAAAATGGCGGCACCTGTCCGACGTATTTATTTTTAACTTTTCATGTGTACCGTCCCAATCACGTGAGTAATATTAAAGTTGACAGTCGTTGAAAAACTGTGAAGCGAGGTACTACTGTACTGGGTTTCTGATTCTGCTCTCAAAAGCACTGATTTTAGTAACAAACCCACAAATGCAATCCATTTTTATACGCCCATTGAAACGTATTATGGTTTATTCTCCATTTATAAACTTTTTCTTGTCCCACTCATAATTTCTGATTTGCTCAGAATAATGTAGTGAAGCATCGTTCATATATGCATTATCACAGACTTGGTGTCACGCACACTTTTACTTTTCATACTGTTCTCTGTTGTTATAAAGACATTTAAAGATCTCTCATAAATCAGGTGTCACTTCACTTCTACAGGTGTGGTTCGACAGGAGGACTAACTACACTCGCTCCCTGGCTGTGATGTCCATGGTGGGCTATATTCTCGGCCTGGGTGACAGGTGAGACTATCACTAAAAGATCAAAGTTTACACCATCTTTAAAAGCTCATGTTAAAAGTAATAATGAGTTTTTTGTTTTTCAGGCATCCATCCAACTTGATGTTAGACCGGTTAAGTGGCAAGATCCTTCACATTGACTTTGGAGACTGTTTTGAAGTAAGAGGAGATTTTCTTTCCCTACTTTTTATTGTTAATTTTTACATTATTTTTATTTTTGCCAAACCTCTCCCTCGTATTACTTTAAACAGGTGGCAATGACCAGAGAAAAGTTCCCCGAAAAGATCCCGTTCAGGCTGACGAGGATGCTCACCAACGCTATGGAGGTATCGAGCACTTCTAACAATTTCCTGTGGGATCGATAAAGTTTTATCTTATCTTATCAATGCTGCTGTAAACACTGTGAAGGGAATGTTATATTAATTTAATGGGTGTGGGCTTGTTGAAGCATTCAAATATCATACAAAGTGGTAAAGTCCCCAGTGGTGAACTCCACAAATGTTCTTTTATTATCCAGTTTCAGCTGCTTTTTCTACGTCTGACAAGCAAAAACAAAAAAAATTGGTCTTTACTAAAAGTTTTATTCCAAGTCGTGACTCAGTGGGTCTTGCACTTGATAAGGAAAGAAGAAAGGGAATTAAAAATTAATGCATGAAGAAATAGGATACAGCTTTGTAAGAACTTTATCTCTTAGGCCGTATGAAGCTTCTTTTTTTTGTTTTTAATGTTCTAAAGTAAGCTAAAACTTTCAAATACACCCATCTGTTTTCAGTAAAGATGGAACCCTTTGATGATGAAGAGGTTTGTATTTGTGTCTGTGTGCGTGTCAGGTGACAGGTTTGGATGGGAACTACAGGATCACGTGTCACACGGTGATGGAGGTGTTGAGGGAGCACAGGGACAGCGTCATGGCTGTTCTGGAGGCCTTTGTCTACGACCCCCTGCTCAACTGGAGGCTCATGGACAGTAAGGACCTGATTAAACTTGTCTTTAAACCCACACATACATCAGAATGTATTTCTGCGTTAATTCTGGTTCCTACTGGTATGTGCAGTAAAAAAAAAAGTCTTCTGCACAAATCAAACTACAACAAATCTGTTTGAGACAATCATTTAATGAGAGTCAGAGCAAACAGCTCTCCTCTTCTGTTTGGTTGGTGTTTGGGAGAGTAATTGGCCGAACAATGATATTTTTTAGCTAGCAGACCATTAGCTGACCATCGCAAAACTGAGAGCGACTTCTCCTGAATCCACTGGAACAGAACATATCACCTTACTGAAAATAGACATTCACAAAAAACAAAACATCAAAGTTCATGCTCAATAATCCAGGTAAAAAATCCAACAAAGTGAAGTCAGGTCCTCTGGACACTTTCTTTTTTGAAACGTTTCGTCCTTCATCCAAAGGACTTCATCAGTCCAAGGAGCCACAGCAAACTCACTCCCACAAGCAGCACACTCTCACAGTGGACCAACCAGTTTGATGGTGCTCAAATGGTTTCTGGAGTCCACCCTCTCCCCCGTTGACTCCTCTGAGGCAGCCATAAATAAAGTGGTTCAAAACAAAGTTCATGCTCATTAATCCAGGTACAAAATCGAACAAAGTTTCCAATAGAATCCATCTTATCACCATCAAACTGGTTGGTCCACTACGTGTGTGCTGCTTGTGGGACTGAGTTTGCTGTGGCTCCTCGGACTGATGAAGTCCTTTGGATGAAGGACGAAACATTTCAACAAAAAAAAGAAACCATCCAGAGGACCTCACTTCACTTTGTTGGGGGAAAAAAAACGTTTTTTTAATAAATATATTTGTGTAAAATTTGAGACCAGTTTGCTGGATTGCCAGAGTTAGTAACCATAGCAACAATTTTTAAGTGTCACCAGCACATGAAGACCTTCGTTAGATTAGCGTAACAATGACGATAATATTCTTGAGGAAATGCAGTCTGCCAGAAAAATATTTCTCGTCAAAATCAAAAAATCCGATCGAAGTCTTGCTGCAACTTCATGTTTGATAAATGAGTTACATAATGAGTGTGCTGTAGAAAACACTACATCTTACACTGTCTGTTTCGTGAGCAGCAAACACCAAAGGCAACAAGCGTTCCCGGACCAGGACCGACTCCTACACTGCTGGACAGTCAGTGGGTCAGTACACGGCACAAACTGCTTCCTGTTTTATATTTAACACTAAAACTGTTGTAACAGTCTTTTGTGTTGTCGACTGCAGAGGCTCTGGATGGAATAGACCTCGGAGAGACCACACACAAGAAACCAGGGACCACAGTGCCTGAATCCATCCACTCCTTCAGTGAGTTCCTTTTCTTCAGGCCTCGGCTCATGTTCTAAATCTGAAGTATTCTGTGCTAATTTAGCCACAACCGTTCAATCTATTTGGATTTATTTATATCCCAGAGTGCCTCAGTTTGAAACCCAATTTAGTTTTTCTAAAATTGCCAGTCGTTGTTCTTACCAGCATGTTTGTGTTTTAAAGTTGGAGACGGTTTGGTGCAGCCGGAGGCTCTCAACAAGAAAGCTATTCAGATCATCAACAGAGTACGAGACAAACTCACAGGTAAGTAATGTCTGTTAGTCAAACGGTTGTACTAATATTCAGTTTTTATCAAAAAACAACTGCAAGGTGCAGAAAAATGAAGGTTCAAACCGTACAATCACTGTAGTTTTCTATTTAATTTTTATAAATGAGGTATATCAATAAATATTTTTAGCATGTGTCACAGGTTTCCCACACATTTTTAAAACATAGAATCTGTTGAATATTTTCCAAGTAAAAATAATCAGGAATAAATTGAGGTGAAAAATTTTAAACACCACACAGTTTGATTCCAAAATGGTTAAAAGAGCTGTGGTGGTTTTCAGAACATTTAAATGACTCCTACTTGTTTTACATGCAGTAACTAAATATTTATATACGTCCATGCTGTAAAAAGTACATAACATAGATATGTAAAAAATAAAAAATTATCACAGGATGCTGATTAATTAGCAAAGATGCTAACTTAACATTGAAAACACCATCGAACAGCTAACACGATTAGCATCATTTTTACAAGTGGAAATTAATACACAAACATGCTAAAGAATCAGTTTTTGACATTTGAACATTAATTCAGAATTTTCCAAGTTTGTAATGTGATGCATCTAACATTTGATTAAAAAAACTCTAAAAACAGTAAAAATGTAGGAAAACCGTGGCGTTTTTTGTTTTACTCTCCTGTTAAATATACAATTTGAGCTTGTAAAGAATAAACTTGTAAAAGGCAGCAGATTTATTTTGATAGATTTTTATTATTAAATATAAATGGAGTCACCGTTGTTCTGTAATGTTTATCTATTATTTGGAAATTTTGAGCTAAAGTTTTAGTTTTTTTCATCAGGCACACATTTGGCATCATTAGCAACGTAATGTACATGATCTTTCTTTTCTTTTTTTTTGAAACAGGGAAATTCACATTGAGATAAATATTTCTTCTTCCAGGGAGACAAACACAAAACAAAAACAAGTTGTCATAAAATATAAAGTAATACGATTTAAGAAATGTGTACATTAAATTATGGTTCTTGCATAACAAAAAATGTGTTGAATACATAATAAAATAATCTTAAACTCAGATTTTCTTTGTGAGGAGTCCTGATGTGGGTGCTGTTGAATACAAAAATAACAAAGAATCTAAAGCTCAGCCTTTAATGTTTTTTTTACCATTATTGTACATCTGACTAACCATATTTATTTGGAGGAAAAACATTTTATAATCTTAAATTATCCTAAATCCATCAAAGTTTTTGTTCAGATGTAGCTTGGGTTAAGACTGAGCGGCGTAACGAGTGTGTTTGTTGTAGGTCGGGACTTTTCTCACGATGAGACGTTGGACGTGCCGACACAAGTGGAACTCCTCATCAAACAAGCCACGTCACATGAAAACCTGTGCCAGTGCTACATCGGATGGTCAGTACTGCTTCAGTTTTACTCAGAGCAGGGAAAAAACATACATTATTTATATTTACCGTAATTTCCGGACTATAAGCCGCTACTTTTTTGACACGACTTGAACACAGCGGCTTATGCAATGCTGCGGGCTAATTGTATATTTTTTGACGGACTAACAAGCTTCATGCTGCCAAAACATAAAAACATGTAGCCTCGTCACGCTCAGGTGCTCGTATAGCTGCCCAGTATACGTCTCTCTTGGGTGGTGGGTCCCCGTGACTCAGTGAGACTACCTGTATAAATAATAAATAATAAAAAAGGTTAAAAACAATTGGCCTTTGAAATTACAGGTCACAGTTTGTAGGACGTGTTTGATGAAGTTTTTCTGAGGCTGTTCATTTCTGACACTGAAGAAGACGACTTTAGTGGTTTTAGTGCACAGAAGGAAGATGAACATAGTCATCAGTGACTTTTCCCGTTAGGCTACTGTATTTATTTATTTTTAACCAGCCATGTTACAGGCACTGTTCAGAAAAAAATCAATATTTACTGTACGTATTTGTGTCTGTTACCGGTACGTATTTAATTAAAAGTTGAAAAAAATCTTTCCTTGTAAATATCTCATGTTAGACCGTGAACGCTCGTGGCTTATATGCAAGTGCGACCTACATATGTACAATTTTTTTTAATTTTATTTTAGTGGGCGTGACTTACGTTCAGGTGCGCTCAATAGTCTGGAAATTACGGTATATTACACCTAGCTGTGCCATGTGGAACTTCTTTTAATTTGTCACTGCTATCCTACCTAATCTTTTTTTAAGAAAATGTGTTTTTTTCTTTTAACTTCTAGGTGCCCATTTTGGTGAAGAACTGTCTCTTTCAGCCGAGGGTGCTTTTCACATTTCTTTCCCACCGATAAACCAAGGAGCACTCAACAAATCGTCTCACTGAAAAAATGTCCTTGAACCACAATACACGGCCTCAACAAAGTTTTTTTTTGTTTGTTTTTATCTTTTGCTTTTCTGCTGTAAATGTGTAATTTCATAGCAGCACTGAGATGATGAAGTACTTTAAAGAGCTTTGTTTTTCATTATCGTAATTTAATACTGTAAACGATATTCATAGCTTTAAAGGACTTTCCTACTGTTTAACATCATAATGATTTGCTAAAAGCTTTCTGTAGTGGCCATATTGTGATAATTTAATGTATTTCTTATTTTACACAGGCTTCTTACCAACTTAACAGTTTAATATATTTTTCTGTCCTTTACCAATTTAAGCCTCTTTTAAGGTTACATGTGAACAGACGTGAGAAAAGTTTGATGTGAAATGATCATAATGTACTTTAAGGCCATTAAACTCTGTACAGTTAACACTGGGACTATGATGTGTTTAATTTGCCTTTTATGTCACTTAGACCAACATCATCTTATGATGTAAAATTACTATTTTAGTCAATTTGGTCAACTCTAAATGACGTGAACTCTCTTGTAATGTTGTGAGATCTCACACAATCTGTTTGCACTTGAGGATGACTCTCAGCTATTAAAACCCTACATTTAGCTCAACATCTAAATAAATTAATTGTAGCCATTCCATTATAGGTTGGTTAGCTGTGGCAGCCATCTTGGGGTTGATTGATAATGAAAAGTAGTTTTGAGTATAAAAACAAAATTTAAAAGATTCTGTAAACTCTTTAAAATGGTAAAAGTGTGCTGGTTTGCCTCCGTCCCCCCACAGAGGGGCACTCTCACTCCTACTACGATCCCCCTCCTACTGTTCAAGGAACCCAGTAGGTCAGACATGAGGAGACTGGACCAGTTTCCATCCTGAAACCAGGAAATTAAATTCTGAAATATTGAACATTTGCTCTTGAGCTGAGCAGAGATTCTGGTTCTAACAGCAGCTGGTTTTTAACTGAACAAAAATATAAACGCAACGCTTTTTTGTTTTTAACTTCCATTTGTCATGTGCTGAACCCAAAGATCTACGACTTTCTCAATGCACACAAAGGGCCTTTTCCCTTAAATAGGACATGGAGGTAGTTGGAGTGAGGACAGAGGATGCAGAGGACAGAGTGAGACGGAGGAGGATGACTCGCTGTGGCGACCCCTGAAGAGGGAAAAGCAGAAAGAAGAATATTATACATACATTTGTGTAAAACTATGTTAGTGAGCACTTTGCCGAGATAATCCATCCACCTCACAGGTGTGGCATGTCAAGATGCTGATTAGACGACATGATTATTGTACAGGTGTACCTTAGGCTGACCACAATAAAAGGCCACTCTAAAATGTGCAGTTTTATCACACAGCACAGACGTTGCAAGTTTTGAGGGAGCGTGCAGTTATACTGACTTCAGGAATGTCCACCAGAGCTGTTGCCCGTGAACTGAATGTTCATTTCTCTACCATGGTGTTTCAGAGAATTTGACAGTACATTCAACTGGCCTCACAACCACAGACTATGTGTAACCACACCAGCCCAGGACCTGCACATCCAGCATCTTCACCTTCAAGATCATCCGAGACCAGCCACCCGGACAGCTGCTGCGACAGTCGGTTTACATAACCAAAGAATTTCTGCAGAAACTGTCTCAGGGAAGCTCATCTGCATGCGTGTCCTCATGGGGTCTCCACCTGACTGCGGGTCGTCGTCATAACTGACTTGAGTGGGCAAATGCTCAGAAGTGTTCTCTTCACGGATGAATCCCAGACTTCACTGTACAGAGCGCATGGCATGGCGTGGTGTGGGTGAGTGGTTTGCTGATGTCCACCGTGAATCGAGAGGCCCATGGTGGAGGTGGGGTTATGGTATGGGCAGGCATATGTTATAGACAACCAACACAGGCTGGTGTGGCTACACGTGATCTGCATTTGTGAGGCCGATTGGATGTATTGCCAAATTCTCTGAACATGGACATTTCTGCAGTCAGCCTGCTGATTGTACGCTCCGTCACAACTTGTGACGTTGTGCTGTGATAAAACTGAACATTTTAGAGCGGCCTTTTATTGTGGTCAGCGTCTTGATATGCCACACCTGTGAGGTGGATGGATTATCTCAATAAAGGAGAAGTGCTCACCAACGTAGATTTTAAACTAATTTGTGAAGAATATTGGAGAGAAAAATGACTTGTGCACATGGAAAAAGTCTTAAATCTTTGAGTTCAGCTCATGAAAAATGGGAGCAAAAACAAAAGTGTTGCGTTTATATTTTTGCTCAGCGTATTCCTTGTCACCTTGCAGCTGTGGTGAGATGCATGCGTTTACTCTGCCGGACAAAAACTGAATCCGATGGTGCAAATTGCAGAGGCAGCTCTGCAGACGGCTATTAATTTGGCTTCCTGTACTGGTCTCTGTTGAGCACAAGGTAGCTGCTGTTTTAGTTTTGCTCATTGCTATTCTCCCGCTAATTTCTCCATTTATTTCTCCCCTACTTTCTCCTCTGAAGGTTAATTACTTATAGATAGTTAAGGATTAGAGATCAACAAAAGGCAGCCCATTGATCTCTTCCCTGCTATGCCCACCTCTGCAATGTCACACTCTTTACACATTGGAACAGAGGCCTGGTGATTATCTGTTCGCATCGATCCATCCTCCTCTGTTTTCCCTCGCTTTTTACCCTCCCTTGCTTCCTTTGACTCCACTCTGTCACTTTCCTTCCCTCCTGCTACCAGAACCTCATTATTGAAAATGTGACTTTTCATACTCGGTGCCACCATCCCTGTTGTTCTCTCTCTCTCTTGTTTAATTTGTTTGTATTTTTTTTCCTTTTAGTCTTTCAAGTCTGGTGAGGGGCAGGCGAGTCAATAGCGTAAGTTAAATAGGCTGCATTGATTGTTAGAGGGATTTAGCTGTTTACCAACTGTGGAAATGGGCTCGGGCAGCAGAAAAACAGCCCTGGTGTCTGTGTGTAGCAAGTCGATGGTGACAAATGATACTCATCGGGGGACAATGAACCCAAAATGAGAGAAGGTGAAAGGCTTTGGCAGTGGAGGCTGGGGATGCATGAGGTCGCACTCCATCAGGCTTTCAGGCTGTTGCATGAAGCTGTCCAGACCAGGCAACCTGGGCCAAAACATTTAGAATGATGGGTTCGAGCAATTCCTTCACTCTAATATGTTTCCCAACTGGGACCAGAGCCTTTTGCTCTTGCATGTTAAGTTTTTCTTACCCCGCTTCATCTTGTGTTCAAGCTCCCCTCTGGATCTTTTTCCACATCCGTGCACCCTCTTTAGCTTCCCACAACCCCTCGGGATTTTTTATAAATGCTCCTTCCACTCTCACCATGTCTCGAATGCAGTCGTACAAAAACCAAAGAACTCTTAAAGGAGAGAAGTTTCTTGCTAGTAAAAAAAATACAAATGAAAAGTTGGATTTTTCAATACATTTGAATGCCAGGCTTTAGAAATTAGGTGGAAAAATGAGATTGCTTTAGGTTGCTTTTTAAATTTATATAACAATGGATTGTTCTACTGACTCTAAAACAAAACAAAAAAAAGTAAATACTGACAATAATCAATGTTAGGTAGCCAACATGGAGTAAAAGGAGGTTGTGAAATTATAACAGAATGCTTAACTGAAAAGTAACATACGTACCTTGAGATTGAGTTCATTTGTAAATAAATATAAATAAAATATGTACCATAATCTGTCACCTAAAGCCTTGAGATAACTGTTATGGACAGAAAGATACAAATATAGATCTATAGAGATGTCCTCATTAGCCCCAACACAATTATTTTGTGTTCCAGTGTTGCTTCTGGCTGTCCTAAAAGTAGCTTGAAGTCACTAAATGACATCAACACCTAACTGGATATTTTCTCTTGTTCGGATCATTCACCGTAAACCCTTGATATGGTTGTGCACAAAAATCCAAGTAGATCAGCAGATTGTGAAATACTCTGAACACAACCATGTCATGTTCATCCCTGTCACTATTCTGATGCTTGGTTTGAACTGTGTCTAGATGAAGAAAAAGAAAGTACTTCTACTGTCATTTTACTCAAGTACAATGAAATTATGTTTGGTGTGTCCATATTACTGTAGCATGAAGATTCGCTCCCCTGACTTTGACCTCTGACCCTTAGGTTGTCTTCCAGATTCACCCTGACCTTTTTTTTTTTTTACTTTTGACTTAAGTAATGTCTGATGTTTTCACACATTGACGGTCCTTGGACTCAGTCAGCTTAAGTCGTTTCAGTCGTTAATGAAGTTGGTTTTATCTAATTATGACAGTTGTGAACATGAATAATGTTGATGTTTGCACACACTATAATGAAATCGTGGAATATTATGTTTTAACATATTCTCTCCATTTTGTTTTTCAGAAAAGGACATTTCTTTAAAAGACATCTTTGTTTTAAGTGTTTTTGAGCTGGAATCTGTTCATGTCAGAGGGGAGTCATAACATCTCAAAGATCCTCAAAACATTTCTGAGAGCTGAGAGTTCAAACAAAGTTTCTTTGTGTGACACTTTTCAGTTCATCTGTTTTTCCACATCCTGATGTCAGTCTGATGTCAGTCTGATGTCCGTCTGATGTCCGTCTGATGTCTGACTGATGTCCATCTGTTGTCTGACTGATGTCTGACTGATGTCTGTCTGTTGTCTGTCTGATGTCTGACTGATGTCTGACTGATGTCTGACTGATGTCTGTCTGATGTCTGTCTATTGTCTGTCTGATGTCTGTCTGATGTCTGTCTGATGTCTGACTGATCTTTTGTCTGTCTGATGTCTGACTGATGTCTGACTGATGTCCTTTTGATGCTGTCTGATGTTCGTCTGATGTCCGTTTGATGTCCGTCTGATGTCCGTCTGATGTCCGTCTGATGTCAGTCTGATGTCCGTCTGATGTCCGTCTGATGTCCGTCTGATGTCCGTCTGATGTCTGACTGATGTCTGACTGATGTCCGTCTGTTGTCTGTCGGATGTCTGTCTGATGTCTGACTGATGTCTGTCTGATGTCTGACTGATGTCTGTCTGTTGTCTGACTGAGGTCTGTCTGTTGTCTGACTGAGGTCTGTCTGATGTCTGTCTGATGTC